TAATCTAGTTAAGTGCATACTGGCTAATTGCAGGTTTTAGCTCACTGCCAAGCACATCATCTCACTGTCTTTTTGCTCTGGCTACCTGAAGAGTCAGCAGCCACACGAAGCCACACATCATGGGGGGATGCAGAGAAACCAGCTGCCACCTCCTCCTGTCCACTACAAGTCTACTTTCATTTGCTTTACCAAAATAGAATGTTTTTCTATAACAGGGAGAGTGAAGTGAAGAACAAAATCAAAAACAAACAAACAAACAACTTGTCACCTGAGGACACTCTTCAAAAAGTCCCGGAGCAGATGGACACAGGAGAAACAAGAAAAAAAATAGACTTTGGTTCTTATACAGACATCTCAAAAACAGGGCTACTGAGGTAATTTGCTAACCTAGTGTATGCAAATACACCTCACATTCCTGGGGGTTAGATAGGAACAAAAAGGCCAAAGTCTTCTCCACAGATTTATCACAATTTAGCACAAATAATTTTGAAAACTGAGCCCAGCTGCTATTTTTTTACTGAATGCCCTGTCTTATGAATGTCAACAAGTTCCTGTTCAGCTGGAGGCAGATCTGGGCTGCTGCACCTCTAACTGGCCAGGCAAACTCCGTGAGCTTCACCAACACTGCACCAAGGACCACTGTCACAGGGCAACACCTGGCTCTAACTGCAGCCCTGCCATGCCCACTCTGCTGCTCAAAGTGCAGGTTCAGTGAAAGGCTACAGGCCCTGATGCTTTGCTTTTAAGTGCTTCAGCGAGCTGCTGTACAGAGTGAGGCAGCTGCACAACATCAAAGCTGCACAGAAAATAAAATGCTTTCCCATGACACCACATTAAAGCCAAGGCAAGGACCTAGAACTGAGTCCCAGTGATGCAGAGTTCATTCCTCAGACTTTAAAATCACTCTGCTCTTACAGAAAGATTAGTTGCATTTTTCCCAAGAGCCCCTCTTTTCTTCTCAATACCATTCATCTGCCAAGCAGCAAATCTGTCAGCACAGTTCGGGGCACAGTGCTGAGGCTTCAAGACTGCATTTCTAATTTGAAGGACTCAAAGATTACCAGCAGAGAGAACACACAACCTCAAAACCTGTAAAAGAACAGGTACCTTCATGGTAACAGAGATCACCATGGAGATGAAAGATGAAGGTGCAAGATAGGCATGTTTAGAAGCTCATGTTTTCCCACATCTTCTAACAGGTGACAGTCAGCAAACCATGTTTGGAATGCTGGACCTGCTAAGCCCCCTCAGTACTCCCTTAGCACAGCACAGGTCAGACGGCGGCTGGCCCTGAATGTGTTGGGGTTAAAGTGACACAGAGAAGCAGAGCTCTTTCTTTAAGTCTCATAAACAGCTCGAAAAGTTTTCCTTCAACTCATTTCTGAAACAGAAAAAGGTGTGATTGTTTGGATGGAAAAATAAAAGTGCTGGCAAATGAGAAGATTTGTTCAGGCTGTTGAACATCCATGTAATGAAGGTGATGGAGACTTGAACTGGTGATAGAGGCAAGAGAAATTAGCCCTGCAGCTTGTTTTTACCTGCCATCAACTTTGAAGAGGTCCTGAAAAACACCTTCAGCTTCCATCAATTCTTGGTAAGTGCTTGGCAAAGCACATACTGCCAGATGGAGGATATCCAGACCCATATGCAGGTAACAGCCTGTCTGAAACAGAGTGATGTAATAGCTTCCTCCTTAGTCTCCTGTACTGGAGGATGTCATGACAAAATAAAAACTGAGACGAGACTCAATGAGGAAGGATCCCATTTCCTTGTTAATGACTTTCAATTCAAATCCTCTACAACTGCAGAAATTAGCTGCCTGAGAACTATGGAAAGGAAAAATGGGCACAGGTTGGTGGATTTTTCTTTAAAAGAGCCCCCCAGAAAATCCTAGCATTTACAGACCACAGTAAATTCATAGAGAAGACTGCAGTGGTATGTGAATATATTTCCCTTTTCACCTTCACTATTTTAAACAAAACTCTGTGCCTATGGTGGAGAAAAAGTTTGACTACCTGAATTTAAGGCGTATTAAAGGGGTGGTAGGTTTGCTGTTGTGTTTTTGTTTGTTTGTTTGTTTGTATCATTTATATTGAAACTCTTGAAATAAAATTTTATAGGATGTAATTCTGCCTTCTTTTCCCTTCACTGAACCTGCTGAGGGTGGCAGGGGGAAATATTAGGAATTAGAGGACCAAATCTGACCCCACTGAAATCAAACAGCCAGCGTGCCCAGCCTTGTGGACATTTTGAGAAACAGCTCCTCTTCTGAATCACATTATCCCTGTCAGTCTCGGGTAGAAAATGATTTCCAGTCACTAGTCCACAGCAGACGATAATAACAAATGAAAAATAGCCAAGCTATGGTTTACACTAGATGCCAGAAATGAAGTATGGTGGAATTCTGTGGGCAGAGTGGGAGAACTGAGGAGGAATGGCTTCGCGCCTGCCTGCTCTGAGGCGGTGGCAGCACCATGGGTACAGTTCATTAAGCAGACGGCTCTTTTTCACCGAGCTGGTACTTGTGTGTTGAACTTTTTGTACGATGAGTTTGCTCCTAAAAAGAGGCAAACGACTAGTGCATTGAAATGCCATGAATCCCTTGTTGGCAGAGCGCGAAGCAATTAAAGCCTCCATGCCTCCTGACTGCACCCAGAGGCAGGCAGGTAATGGAAACATCAGTACATTTAGAAGAGACCCCATGAGTGCCAAAAAAAGGAGAATTTGCAGGCAGGGACTAAAACGTCATGTAGAACTACAGGTGGCTGTCAAGCAGTTTGTGGACCCCAAGCCACCCACTCCTCAGGGTCTGCAAAGTAGATCCCACATGGCCTCACCAAAAACAGGGGTGAGAGGCTCAGTAGGGTGCTGTATTTTGCAGTTTCTACCCTCTCATATCCTCTCTGCACTCCAGCTGCAGCAGTACATTCTTCCCCACATCTTGCTGACTGTCTTGCCCAGCTACACTGCAGGTTTGCTCAGGCTGGAGATCCTTTCTGTAGTGTTTTCCTCACAAACAAGGGAAGTTCAGCAGCACACGCTGCCTCCACCACACATTTTTCTGCAAGAAATTCTCAGTATTCAGCCACAGATAAGAAAACATTTTGGTAAAATAGCCAAGTAGGGTCATCCCTTCTTTGCACAGGGGGAAACTGAGGCACAAAACTTAGAAACATAAGTTTTTCAGCCTTGACATTCACTGGTTTCCCTGTCACTCGGTCCTTAGATACTTTGGATACCACCGTGATAGCTTCAGCTGCTAAGGAAACAAATCTGTTTTCAGACACCTTACTCATGCTGTGTCATTCAGTTCCTCATCTGAGTGAGGGCGATTATGTTGGCGGTTTCACCATTATCTTAAAGCAAAGCCAGGACTTCACCATCTTTCCTGAACATAAAATTCCATCACCTTGTTCACAACATTTTCCGAGACTTTAGAGAGGCATTTTACAAAACATGTTGCCTTTCAAGAAATGAGAGGACTAAGAGATGAGTTTCCCACAGAGAATAGCTTTGTGCTCTGCTGTGAGGCATCAAGAGCTGCTATGTATAAATAGGAGCATTTCTTCATGCTGAATTTGATGATTTTTGAGTAGTTACTGAAAGACAGTAGAGGTTTGCATTGCTTGTGTATAGCAGTAGTGATATCAGCACCTAAACAAAAAGGTGTCCTTGAAATCTGAGTCTAATGGCAAGCTTAATATTGTGACAGGCTCCACTGGAGGCTCAGGCAGGTTCATTTTTCCTCTCTACAACTGCCAAAGATCTCTGGGTCTGTGGCACAAACATTGACCATGAAATTGTAATAAACCCTAGAAGTGATTGATTCTGGATGTTCAAGTTTTTTGGTTTTGGGTTTGTTTTGTTGTTTGGGGGGGTTTTTAACCATAGGAAACCATGAGAAGAGATGACAGTTTAGGTCTTAACTCATTCCTATTAGTGCTAACAGCAAACCTGTAATTAATTTTAAATGTCAAGGAAAAAAAACTTCAGCACACAAACTAAAAGATGGAATAAAGCTTGTTTATGTAGGCTATTGTCTATGCATTTTTTAAAAGATGCAATAAAAGCCTTCACTGGAAATAGATTCTTCAATAAAAATACAATTTCTCTCAAAACACATAGATTGGTTGTGATCTTTTATTTTCCACAGAACAGGAAAAAAAGATCAGAACAATTTTCATCTAAACAGTAGTTGAGATGTTCGGAAACATTTGACAAAGCCATGCAAACACCTGAAAAAAACCAGAAAACTCACAAGCCCCCATTCTTACTTGCTTGCCTTATTAAGTTTCCACTAAAATATATATATTTTTGGGGTAGTACTTTTGTTGTAAACTTAAAGTTTTAAAAGTTTCCTAGAAAAGTTACAGCTTCCAAGAGGAAGTTGTCAGCCTACTTTTTTCTTAAAGCAAAGGAATGGCTCACTGTGATCTCAACTGGTCCCAAGAGCTCTGAAAGGGACATGGTGCACACAAGAATTGCACACACTCCTGCAATCCAGATTGAAACAGCATTCAAAGCCTTGCCTGGGGCAGAGCAAAATGTGGCATCCTCCTCATGCTGGCCAAAAACCCAGCTGCTGTCATTTCAGCATCTGAGTGGCCTTCACAGTGTGAAGAGACGCAGCAGACTGTTTCTTTGAGGATCAGTGCCACTGGCTACAGGCTGCTTTTTCAGAAGTGTCAGAATTTTCTGTACCAGTCCTTAGACATAAAACATATCTGCTACAGAGCCATCAGTGCATCACAACAGGAGATGGGGAGGGAGCTAGCATACATTGAATCCAGTTTTCATATGCACTTTGCTAGGAATAACAAAGCCTATTATAATCCTGCATTTACATTTTTAAATTTTTTTTTGAAACTGTGACTCAAATGTTAACACGTAAAATCTACTCCCATGCATCTAGCCAAGGAGTCTAAGTTTGTTTTGGTGAAGGGCATTAACCACAATGCAAATAACGCATTTGCTGCATGAATTACAAGAGGGAGACCTACCTTCATGATTGTTTTCTGTTTATATGCCTCCATTAGTATCCAGGGAAGTTTAACCTGAGCTGGGGTACATGGCATGGTCAAGTCCTCAGGTTTCAGCACTTCTCTGGCCATCCATCAGCCTGCAACTTCTCAGCAATTCAGTCCCGAGGCATTAAGCTGTCACAGCTCACTATGAAATTAGACTTGATGACACCTAAGTAGATTCATTAATGCATTAGGCAAATGCTATCTGATTGGTTCCTTTTTTTAGAGGTTTGGCGAGCAGCGTGCAAACAAACCTGGAGAATGATGCTCCCAGGGGAGGGCAGGCAGCTTGCCAGTCTTCTTTCTTAAACAGAGGTAAGAAAGTGTCAGCCCCACAAAGCTGCACTAGAAGAATTTACAACCTACTGCTTGCCTCAAGACAGCAAAACACAGAAGGCGGCATCAGTTGTTTCTGTCTTCTGGAGGGGCGATGCAGTTCCCATACACATCACAGCACACACAGCATTTCAACTGTAAAGGTAACATGGCACTAATCATGACCAAAACAAATCCCAATGGAGTACCTGTCCCTGGTATGGGGACTAAAAGACAAACCAGTTCTAGGTTAATCTTCAGGACCATCCAGGGGATATTCTCACCATCCTTAACCATGTGGCTGCTGACTGTGCAGCTGCACTGACTTACCTTGTTCACTGCTTCTCCAGTCCAATAACACAGCCCAAAAAACGAAGCCACCAAACCAACCAGTGCAGAGGGAGGCAGATGCTGGTGTCAGGTACACACCTTCACTGTTAATTCTGTCACGTATCAGCTGCCACGGGTGGTGAGACTCAAAGTTTATCTGTCCTTCCCAGAGACTCTCACTTCATTCCTGACAAATATAGCTACTGGCCCTGTAATTCGGTGCAGTTACAGTTTTGCAGGACACTTGAATAAATTTTGATTGGCACATACTTGACTCGTCCAGGCAGCTTGCCTTGTAGTACTTTCACCTCGGACTACGATCTCATTAGACTTCACAAATTAGGCAGAACCAGGTCAGAAAGATACTTGGAGAAGAATTCTGAAGTGTAATGGGACACAGGACATGCAATTCCAAAAAACCCTACAGTTCTAGGAGAGTTGTGAAAGCTTGGTAAGACATCTTGTGTGTGACTGCAAAATGTGCCTTCTTTGGTCAGGGATAAACCAGTAAAATCCACACAAGTATGGTCTGTGCATTAAGTACACTCATAGTTAAGTCTAGGAATATTATTCATGTAGCTGTTTGTGTTCATTTTGTTTAAAAAAGCCTTTTGCTTCTCTCCACACCTACTGGAGAGAAGCAAATATTCTACTGCTGAATATTTAAAGAGACAAGATGCTTTCCAAAAATTTTAACTTAGCTGGTGGTTCAGGTAATGGCTGGTAAAGTTCTGGAGTTTTAAAGGAAAACAGTATCTATTGACATGATTCCTTTGTTTAGAAAAACAAGCCTTGGTTGAAATGTTTGTGAATAAATTAGCTGACAAATATAGCTCATTTGTCTATCTACAAACTAATACTGACTTTTGTGCAGAAACTGATTATTAGCAAATATTTTCCAAATAGATCACAGAAGCAACATTCAGCTGAGTAATTATTCTTGGAACAATTTGCCACACTGCTGTCTCTGCGCTCGTGGTACATGAGCAAGTGGGTGCCCAGGCCATATGGCATTGTTTCTGCTTCCTAAGTAACTGAAGCCGGCAAAAAAAGCAGAAACAAAATGAACCCTAAATTACAGCTGCTTTTCAGTTTGAATTTTGAGCTAGCAATTAGACTTACTGAAATTCTTGAATTTTTGCAATTTCTGAACATTTCACTGAGCAAACAAATAGCTAGGCACGTAACCTCCTGCAATGGCAACCATAACACAGTATTTCCTAGAAGACACCACATGATCCTGCATTTTATTCACAAAATACAAACCAACCTTTCTTAGATCCATTCAGTCTGCTCTACTAGTTTATCATCACGGGACTCTTAGTGAGCCTGCAGGTCTGGACAAAGCAGTCCTTTACTGCAAAAAGATAGTATACCTGCATCAAAATAAAGTTTTTCTGGGTGTGTTCTGCTACAGATGTTCAGAGGCTCTGCAGCTGCTTGGATTACACTGGAGAAGGCTTTTCTGTTTCCTGTGCTCCCAGCGTCCAGAAGGACATGAGACCACACAGTTCCACAGCCTCAAGTCCCTGCGAGTTTCCCTTGGCACCAGTCCACCTCCCACTACCTCCACAGGGAAACTCTTCCACACACAAACCCCAAATGCCTGTATACCCTCAGCAGTAGAGCTGAAGGATACACTGATGCCTGCCCATCCATTAGCAGCCAAGTCCTTGTTTCATTCAGCTGAAGCATTGCACTTGCCTCTCCTGAAGAACAAATGAGGAAGAAGAGGAACCAGGCAGCAGGGGTTTGCCTGCTTGCCATCAAACCTTTCCAACATATCTAGCACACCAGCAGTCTCTTGACCAACAACTGCAAAACCTCCAGAATCTTGCATAGCATTTTAACAGTTAAATATATTTCAGTGCAAAACCCCCATCTCCTCTTTCCGAGCAGGAGTCGATGTCTTACCCTGTTTCACATCTGGCATCACTTCATTATTTTTTCTTCAAGCTGTGTAATTAAGAGCTTATATAAAGTTGATTTAAAGAGAGTCTGCACTCTGGATGACTCCACTTGAGAGCGAGGTAACAGTGCCTTGACAGGTCAGGGCTGGGTTCATTTGCTCTTCCTCGAATAGTTGAGTTTCAAGGAGGGGTTCCTAGGAACTGAACAGAGGTGTGACAGGAAATCATTGACAGGAAACCGCGTGGGGATCTTCAGTTCTTGTCTAAGTCATCAATTTCCCAACAGCTCACATCAAGCACCCCGAAGCAGAGATAAGGGCTGGGTTTATGCCCTTCATTGGGATGAAATATCATTATCTGCCCTTGGCAGGGCTCTCATGCTTGTGCCCAGGACTGCCCAAGGACTGAGAGCAGGAGAGGTGGCCTGAGCCCCATCCCACCTGTCAATTCCCACATTCCTGATTCAGCACATCTCGTCTCTCACATCTGTGACACAAGCCAGTTAAATTATCTGCAGCTTCATCCCTTTTGCAAACCTCTGCCTACCTTTCAGCTACCTGAGTGCACAGCCCCCTACAGGCACAGTAGCTGGTTATCAATACCTGCTCAGGCTCCATGTACAGTGCTGGCAGCCGAGGTCACAGCTCCACAACCAACTCCACAGGCAGAGCTGGGTGGCACAGGGGGGCCTCTGTGCAAGGAGGGGCCGGGACTTCCTGTGACAGTCAGGGCAGGTCAGGGCCAGTCCTCCACAGCCCCCGGGGTAACTGGGATGTGATCTCTCTGTCCTTATTTCAGCCCTTGAGCTTTTTTCCATCTTATTTTCTCCCCTGCTGTCCCATTGAGGAGGAAGTGCAAGAGATCGGCTGGGTGGGCAGCCTGGAGATGGCCAAGGTCAACCCACCACAGGTGACATTGCTCCACTGACACTGTAGTGACAAGAGGAGACGAAAAACTCAGCATCTCCGTGTAAGCTTTCCAAAAGAAACATGGGGGGGACCAGACTCTACACAGCCCACTCTGATGCTGCAAAATAGCTCAAATACAAATGCAAGAAAGAGACACCAGCGTAAAATACTACGATAATTTCTAGAGGCCCCCTTTGGCAGGGTCTGGAAAACAAGGGAAGATAGCTGCAGCTGTATTAAGAGTTCTCATTGCTTGCAGCTGTATTCATATTTCTAAAGGGAAAATACGGGGCTGTGCTTGAGTTCTTCCCTTGAGGCACACGTCAGAGTTCAAACTTGCATGGCAGTTCATTTTTGTTTCCCCCCCACCTTTAATGAACAAGGATTTCTTACACGTGCACGCACCTCCCTTCTGCTCTGTCAGCCTTTCCACTCTTCACATACTGAGCTGGAATTGTTCCCCATGAAATCATACTTTAAAACCTTTTAGAGAACACAAATGCAGAATACCAGAGTTCAGACAGCTGGAGGAGACCCTCCAAAATGTCCCCTCTCATCAGCATACAAAACAGCATTAAAGGCTTTTTTTTTTTTTTAAACACTTGCCCTGGCAAGTGATAGGCAATAACCAGAGGAAGGTCTGACAAATAGAGGGATGCTGAGAGGAATAAGAGCTTGGCTTTCTTGGGAAGTGCTTTTTGAAGTCGAGGAAACTAAAAGTGCACCCAAAAAAAAAAAAAAAAAAAAAATCGATGAAAGCTGAGATTCCTCACGCACCAGCAAAACTTCAGGCACCAGAGAAACACACTGTGCAAATTAATTGGGAAACACAGACCATGCTTATTTAACTCCCATTTCTACAGATATCTTCTCACAAGGACTGGATGGCAACCTTTATGGTCCCTGAGTGCACTTAAATTCTGCGTGTTTCCAGAAGTGCTCTCTCTGCCTTACTTAAAAAGTGGTCATGACGGTCTGTTTTTTTTCTACCATTCCAACACTTTAAGAACATTGCAAGAGCCTTTCCCAGAGAGAAGACAGACTGATGCAGTGCAAGACAAAGGGCCAAAGGTCACGTTCAAAGGAGCACACTCTGAGGCTTGTCTGCCTGAGGGACCACAAAGGCCTTGGGTCAGGACCAGGCAGCACAAACAGCACAAGAGTACTACAGTGGTTTTGTGTTCACTGCATTTCCTCCACCATTTTCCAAAGCAATCAACAGCTTGGAGCTGCAACCTGTAAGACAAGAAGAAAAACCTGCCTTGATGGTCATTTTTATTCCAACCCAAAAAAAATATATTCCCCTTTGGAGGGTATTTTAGGTGTTTTATTGCCTGGCCAAACAACAGAAGCAATCCAACATTTGGTCACCTTTTCAAAATAGTTTGAGTATTACAGCACTGTTATCAATATATCCATTTGTAAATGCTGAACTAGGACTAGTCCCAGGAACATCACTGCTTCCCAGAGCAGTTACGAACATCATGAAGAACTGAGACCACCTCACATCTGATGAGTGGCTCTGGAGCAGGATTTCACTTGCACTGCTGCCCACTGTAATATCTCTCAGCAGCTCCCACTGCCAGGACTGAGAGGGAAACAAAATCTTCGGGTTGAAGTTTTAATTTAAGATGGATGAAATCAGTAGACTTGAATTCAAAAAAGAAAACAAGAGAAAACGACATCAAAAACCAAAAATGACATAATTAGTGGTTGTTTTGTGAGTACGTAAAGGAGATAAAATGAAAATATGAAAGGCAGTTTAAAAACATGCAATTCTAAAGAAAAAGTCAGCAATTCTGTTAGAATACTAAAATAAAATGCTTCAACCTCTCCCCAATAAAAACAG